TCGATTACGCGGATCGTGCCGGCTGAGGACTCGCGGAATTAATTAAAGTATCTCGACCTAAGGCCGACGTATCATACGACGCGTTCGAGCGACCCGGATCGAGGAGCCACCCCCCGTTCCTCCAATCAGCAACGCGCACGAAGGCGCCACGTCGTTCCGCGTACCAACCCAGCGTCCTGCTCCTCTGATCCTTCGCCGAGGGTTCTATTGTCCTTGGCGATCTTGGCTAAGCGCGCGCGCGCGCGCTCTCTCCCAGGTGCGCTTATCCTGCGAGAACCGGCGTGTCCTCTCCCTCCCACTACGAGAATCCTTCTTCCTCTCGTTGCCTCTCGTCCGACCATCTTCGACGCGAGCCCTCCGCAGGAGCGGAAATCCTGCCTCGTGGTACCCTGGTAAATATTGGCACGTGGTAGCGCGAGGAGCGAGTTCGGGACTGTTTCGAAGCCGTTCGGCTGTTTCGGCTCTCTCGAAGGTCGATTCGGCGGAGTGTATTTCTGTGCGTGTACGCGTGTGTGCGCGTGTGGTGTAGGCTCGCCCGGAGAGGGAGAGAGAGAGAAGGAAAAGGAGAAGGAAGGGCGAGAAGCACCTGTTATCCTGCGCCAGGACGACTCGCCCACGTCGGGGCTTCCGGATCGATATTGCTCAGCCGCGTGTAAAGTTATTAATATGGCCGAGCCGCGACGTGAATCATCCTCTCTGCGGTATGCATCTCCCCTTTGAAAACGCTCGAATTAATCGGGAAGCAGTTGGAAGGACGAGGACTTCATGCTCCGTCCTGCGCGCGAATTCCGTTTGCGCCCGCGCGGCTCGCTCCCGTCCACGTGTTTCTCGCTCCGTTCCTCACGATCGACCGTGTTCCCGATAGCCGAAGCTTGATGACTGATTTATCCGGTAATCTCGATACGATCAAACATAGTTGATATCAGAATAATCGTTGAAAATCGTGGAACTTGGAAACTGAGAAAGTAACATCTTACGCTTATAAATTGGCGTGATTTATTTATCAACGGGAACGCATCCCTTTAATGCAAAGAACAAAGCAAGACGTGATACGATGGTACAGAAAATTTATGCGATCACGTGTACAAATTCCCATTAGCGTTGACAATATAAAAAGAAAAATATAAATATAAGAATATAAAAACAAAATGAGAGAAAGATACTGTTATTCTTATTTTGTTTTCAATATTTTCGCAATACAACTGGAGAGCCGTACATTGAGTACCTTTATTTTATTAAGCGATTCCGCTCGCGGTAGAACGAAAGATCGATTCGAGATTTGGCCACTGGCACATTCCGTAACTGGACCGAAAGTCTGTCCAATTATTGCAGTAACCAAATAAAAAAAACAACAACGTGGAATATGCGCGGGTTATTTTCGGAACTCGCGAGATTTGTAGAACACAGTAGATTTGTAGAACACAGAGATTTGTAGAACAGTATTTCAGGATGCTCTACCATCGCGGGCGGTCGAACCTTCGTTACTCCCCCGTGCTCTGGATCGCAATAATTAAGGGTTCTTCGGCGAGTAAGGTTAACGAGCTGCTAACGAGCAGTCGCGAACAGAACGATTATCATAATCAATGGCGCATGAAGATGGCGCGTGATTTCCCCTCTCGGAAATCGTGCCATCCTAGGAAAACATCGCGGCCTGTTATTACGCGGATTTTATCACGACGAATCCACTGTTCGTCCATTGAGATTGCAATTCTAATCTAGCGAGCGTTGCATTGCAACGCCTTAGCAGTGTAAATCTGTGCGAGCGAAGTCCATTCTTATTCTAAAACACGGGATAAAATCTCTTTTCCGAGCTGCTAATTAGTTGTTTCGTGCGACTGTCGTCGTCAGAGAGTCGAGCAACAATTTGACCGAATATCAGGAAGTTAATAAATGAAGTTGGGAAATTGGACTGGATCCTAAGAAAATGTTCTATGCAAGAAAGAACACACTGCGCTGGCGCAACTTCCGAAAGAGAGAAGTAGACTTCAGATGTGTTTCCTGGCATATTTCGATACCATGTTTTATTCACGACGGAGACGCGCGAAAAATTCCACGCGTTCGTTGTTATTACATTGGGAGCGTCGGTATGACGAATGCCGGGATTAGCGCGTAGGGTCACACGTGTCGCGCCGTCACATACACAAGTGTTTTCCCATCCGCTCTCGCTAGTCGTCGTTGCTCGAGGGTCTTACGGAGTCCACCGGTAACACTCTTCAACCCCTCCGGCCTGGAACTTCTCTTTTTTTTTTTTTTTTCCCGAGGAAAACCGCGGTACTCGGCGTTGTGCGGTTTTAATGAGTCCCCAGCTGCTCTTCAGACTCAATGGCGTAGCTTTAAGCGAAATATCTCTCGCTTCCTTTTGGTAATACGCTGTACAAACGACCCATTCTCTCGTTAATTGCTTCTGCGTGCAATTGGCGAATAGTTTTCGGCAGAATCGTGTCGGGGGACGTCGCGTTGATAAATAAAGCGAACGACACGTCGAACTCTTTCGTAGTTACGCCGTTGATACACTCGTGTTTCGACCTCGGATCCTCCTCCTATTCCTCTTCATTTCCTTTCCTTGATTGTGATCTCCGAAAACCGTTCTAACCGTTGTAACCTTTTGGCATTTACGCGTCTCGCGAACCAAGTCGAAATTTTGGTTTCACGTTAATTTCATTCAGTCTCCGTCAAACTTAGAGGACACTTTGCGGTTTATCGTCCTATCTTGATACAATAAATGCTTATTTAATACTATTTCCTCCGTGTTAAGTTTTCCTTAAAAAAGATTATCGATTGAAATTGAGAATAAAAATGAAAAGTGGATTATTGAGATGTAAAGTAATTCCGAGGTGTCTTTTTTCAAGACTGTCAACATGCAGGAAACGGCAGTAGCTTGTACGATACTAAACCTCGAGACTCTTTATTGGTTCTTCAAGTTTGTTAACGGGATTTGCATAGTTAATGTAGAACCAAAATGTCGACTCGGGGACGCCTACGTCCCGAGAAAGAGCCGCACGGCGCGGGCAACGAGAACAAAGTGGCTTCGTTAGATGCAAATCACCCCTGGAAACGATCCAAGGAAGAATATAAAGGACGTACGGAGAGTAAAAGGTTTGGCCGGTGATATTTCCGCTTGACAAATTTGGGCGCCGTCTTCGAGACGCTTGGCTATCGGGCATTATCGACCGGCGTACGCTCGGCTTCGCCCCGCGGATCATCTTTTACATTTCACGTCCTCGAAATATCGGGTACCGCGACGTTAAGCTAAAACACGGCGATAGCAGTTTGCACTCTGCACGATGAAAAATTTTACGTTAAAAACGATCCACTGAAATTTTCGTGTTACTCCTTAATATGGAGGACGTTTTTAAAAAGTGCGCAAATATAATGTCAGATTCACATATTCACCCTGTTAACATATTAATTCTTAACATATTCACTTTCTTAATGTAACAACGTGAAATTTCAGTGGACCGTTTTTAACACAAAATTTTGCACCGTGCGGCTTTTCATGAAATAATTGCGCACGAAGTTCTGGAAGTCATTCTACCAAGGTGTATTTGCGTCTCGTCGTAAGACGATGTTTGCACGACGCACGTATGTGTGAGTGAACCTTAAACCCGACAGACAACGATTCAGTATCGAGGAATACGGGGGTGCGAGGGCAGGAGACGAAAATGGGGGATGATATAAGCGCCGGCGCCAAACGACTCAGTCGATAAACACCCCGAGTCGAGCGCCCCGAGAGTGGATGGTCGGGCCACCCTTTCGACCCCCGTAAAGCCCAATGACGTAAAACGCAATAGGGGTGACACCGTGGGGGCTTGAATGACGATGAATCCGCGGATGCGGACGAGGAGGGCATCAATGAACCCCGCGATGAAGCCGCCGTCGTGACACCTCGCGACGTTCTGATAGACAGGCGACTCGTGTTAAAGAACCAAAAATAATAATATCGTACACGCGTAGACATTACGAAGAACTTATCGTTCAGTCGTGTGGAATCGGTAGGATTTACTATTGAGTGAAAATCAAGTGATGGAAGCTGCAATATTACATCTCTTTTACGTTCTTTTTAATTACTTTACAAAGGATTGGGATATCCGGGAACTTCTGACTCGAGGGAGTCGAGCTGCTGCGATCGTGTACTTTTTTTCTTTTCTTAACGGAAGACTCAACGGGGTAATTTCGGTTTGGTGAAGTCGGGACGAACACGAATTCTCCAACGCTCGCGCGAAGGGAATCGGCGAAGTTCTCAGAGCAGCGTGCGACGAAAGCGGCGGGACGTTGTGGTGAACGTTGGTGCGCGAACGTTGTCCTTTTTCTTTCTGTTGCGGGGCTGTATGGTGTTCGTCACGAGTTTCATCCAGGATTCCGAGCGTGTCTGCCGGTAAACCGAGCAATTTGGCTTGCCGCGGCGAGCATACGTGCGGAATTACCTTTACCTTTTCTTCAGCCGAACTGCTCGTTCCGCGCGGCAGAAAACGCGGCTCCCACCTTACGACGCCCACTTCGCTCCGGTCAACTTCTCGGTTACACCGTTGCGACCGGAGATCATATCTCCGTCGAGACTGGGAAATGCAATGTCACTTTACGATTAGACGTACGATACGATTTGTCACGAACAAACGGACGGTTGTTTCCAACTCTCAGATTTCACTCGAGATCTCTTACGAAAATATTCCCCCGTTTTTGGCTCGTCCTATCATTTTCATGCCCGTTTCTTGAACTCTCAGGCAGGTACGGTCTATTAAGCGAAGGGATACCACGAGTGTACGCGAGTATGCATTGAGTATTTTTCAGGAGAATACCTGTCTACGATACTCGTTTTTCAGCCTGTGAGCGAGAGCGCGTTAGAGTCGTGCGTTTTACCGTGCATATTTCAAAATGCGCAATGTGAGCGCTTGCGAGTGTCAAATGACTATTTTTTACTCGCAGCTGAACCTGCTCAGCTGTACCTGTTTACACACTTCCAAAACTTCGACAGCACTGTACGTTTTTACTACTCAGAAATATTCAATAACGTTTACGACCCAAACTAATCGTCTTCGCGGGCTGAAGATATCTTTTCAGCGAGATATTCAGGTTGTGCTCAATCAAATATACCGCGGGTTTGGGAAACCTCGTGTGATTTCTAGAATCGATTCGGTTGTTTATTGACTGCTACACGCTCGATTTCTCATCTTCGAGGAAAAAGCGACGCTATTATAGCGCCGTCTTCAGGCCGTGTGATAAATATCCATCCACGTACATCCACCACCTGCGAGCTGCAATGAACGTGAAATTTGTCAGGCTGTGATGTCTCGTGTTCCCCGCGGAAATACTAGAAGCGTCGCGCGAGACGATACTCACCGCGGGGCCAGGCTGAATTTCCAATTACCGTGTCTGAAATATGCGCGTCGATAAAAGCCGTATCGCCTCGCGTCGCGAGCAAACGACATCGTCCTCGAGTCTCGTTCGCCGGTCTTCCTGCAATCCGGAAATTAGTTGTTAGTCGGTTAAGAGAGAGGAGGTGGCGGAGCGGGGAGGGTTAACGAGGGAATTTACGCGAGTTTCCCTACGCAGAAGCGACGACGCGGAGAGACTGGGAGGCAAGCAGCAACGCCGAATGCGGGACCGAAATAACTGAGATTTATTTCGCGAGGGGTCCGGGAGCGTCGTTCGCCGCTAAAGCCCGTTAAACGACGCTCGCGCGCACGTGGAGGACGACTTATCTTCGCGTTCTCGGTGCAACGTACGCGCGTACGTTCCTCTCGCGCGTTAACGTTAACCCACGTGTCTGAGTCACACATCGGCCTGATTTATCGAGCAGCTGAAAGCCGCCCGTATTTCTGCGATCGAGCGAATAATTTTGCTCGGGAAACGCCCCCGCGACGACGGCGCGAACACGTCGCGGGGCGTTCTACGTGCGCGTTTTATTCGCGCGTCCGAGACGTAAAACCTGTCCGTCCGGAGTGCGCTCTTGTAAATTCGCCGGCGGTACGTTCGCGTCTCGTATTTATCGTTGAACGTGGGACGCGACGGAGAGGGTCTTGACCGGCCGGAGAAAGAGCACGAGGAGCCGAGATTCAGAAAGTAGGACTACGTCTGTCCACTGAAATCTGCAATTTGCCAATCGTGAATAGCGAAGGACGCGACGCCTCGCCTCTGCTTCCGCGCATTTTCCACCGGAGGATTCCTTCTCTCCGTTCGTCGACGGCACATTCGTCCCTTCTGCCTTCAGCGCTCGCCCGATTCGGGTAGTCGGCGCGGGGCGCGGAATTAGTCGCCGCCGAGTCCGCGTATACGTGGTTGCACGCGAGTGTCGTAAATCACGGGGCTCGAGGTTGCGAATTGTGGGCGGCCGGGGCTGGAGGGGAAGGGTCCGTGAAAGGGCCCGCGGTTGGAGTGGGACGACGTGTGGGACGGCACCGTGGTACCTGCGAAGGTGGTACGGGGGCCAACAGTTAGCGCCAGACGGTCAAAAACTCGCCGAACCGGCTGCCACCGAGGGCTCTCCTCTTTTTCTGCCGTCGCTCGTCCTTTTGCGCTCGCTCGCTCGCTCGCACCGAGAGCACTCATTCATTTCAGCCGGCTTGCGCGCTTTCTCGGCAAAGGCCGACCGCGGCTAAATATGATCGTACGAGCCGAGGGCTCGTGGCTCGCTCCTTTCCAGATCGAAGATACGCCGATGCGTCCTCGGCTGTATCTTCGGATGCGGCTAGATGTTATTTGTCGTAATAATAACCCGTTTAATTGTGAGCGCAATCGAGCGATACGCAGTTACTGCGTATTACGACGGTGCGGTTGTTCTGGAATGACCAGCTTTCTTTACTCTGGCTCGAAGTAGACCGAACGGGACGTCGAGATAGATCCTAATCGCAACACCGCCATCCAGTCGGCGGGACAGAAAAAAAATAACGTCTGCTTCTTGGCAGAAAACGGTGACTTAAGTGACCGGATGGCAGCGTTGCTATCGCCTGCTCGCGATCCATTTCCGACCACAAGCTGCCGATTTCGTATTTCTCCCCAGACGTATTGTTATACGTATCGTATATACATGTTGTTCGAGGTTTATCTTATTTTCATCGTAATCACCATGCGCGATAAATGAGTATTGTTATGTTCATCGATGCTTCCGCATATCGGATTGACGATTAATTTGATTACAAGCGGATGTGCATTTTAATAGCCGCGGGGGGTTGGATCATGCCGTGCATGACGATGAATTAATGAAATATTATTCTCACATATACCATTGATTGCCGTTATATCAGTGTTGCAAAGATGGACAAATATACGATTGTATGATTTATTTGCACGAATAATATGCGTAGTCATATGCACGTCGTACGAAGTTAACAGTAGACGTTCATCGATTTTCGATACATATTGCGCCGATAGTCGGAAGAGATACGGAAATACGATTCACGAAGGATCGTTTTCCTTAATCCCCGTTTCATGTAAAAATTATCCGCGCAGCTGGATAACACCATGAATACGAATCTGTACTTAATTACACCCTTTATCACAGAGATTGCAGACAATTCCCATCCACGAATGCCGGTTTGAGTTTCTCCAGTCGTGCGACAAATCAATTCCGTCAAGTGCTAGGTTCCTTGAAAAAAAAAAAAAAAGGAGTACGCCGGAAGGCATCCTCGTGGTGACATTCTAACGGGCCGAGGAGAGTTCCCTTTGTGTTTGCGAGACCGGTGTAGGGTGGATCGGGGAGAAAAAAGCGCGAGAGAGGGAAGGTGGAGAACGGGCCGGTGTAGCAGGGCGGAGAGCGACAGGAAGAGAGCTAGACTCCCTTTCCTCCCGTGATTCTCCTCGAATTTGCATGTCGGGGCCGTCTTGGACCGGTCGAGATATCGATTCGCAGGTGGCTGCCCAAGGGGATCGCTTACAATACGATTTATTACGGGGGACCACCTGCTCGCAGAAATCTCAATCGCACCGCCCGGACGCCCCGCCATTGGCTGGGCAATGACGGATGCGCTTCCTCTCCGCTTCCCACGGATCTTCATTAAGGCTTTCTTCGATTCGCGTGTCCCGCAAGACCAGTTTTGATCGCCTTCGTCCTCGGGAAGTAGCAAGCCTCTTCGGCATCGTCGATCTCGAATTCTCGTAAATCGGGAATCGCTCTCTTCGCGCGCACTGTGTGCCCTTCTCGGAGAAGGTTCTCGATGTAGTCATCGGTTGGACAGATGAAATTCTACCAAATGTCGTCGTTCGACAGGTTCGGTAGGATGTAAAATGACGCAAGACGCAGAGCGAAAGAGCTTGCGATTTCCGTTTGTGCGTTATTTCGTTATTTCGAAAATTCGCAGAGAGTGAGCGTGTTCGGCGACACGCTCGTCGGTTCGTTCGGTTATTTCGCGCTGGACACGGCAAACGATCTCTACGATCCTGTAATGTCACGGTAGCTCGGGGTGGGTGGGACGAAGAGGGGGTTCCGGTTTATGGTTATAGCATGCCGTGCGACGACATCGTATTCGGGACTTTATAGGTATGAAACTTTCTTGGAGGGACTGAAATTTATTTTCGAACTTGGACAATGGCAGTTTTGTCCTTAATGCTCAACCTAATTTCCGTCCGGAGGCTAATAAGGATCTTATCTCTTTGTGGTAATTGGAGCGCACACACCGCGTGTTTCTATTTCTGAAAAAGTTATGCACAACGATTGCTTCTATTTGCAAGGCTGATTAGTATCGGTAATTAGGGATATTTTTACACCGAAAGGAAAAAAAGCAGTAAAAAAAAAACATTTTGTACTTGTGTGCAAAATCGGTCCTTGTTAAACCCAGCGAGAAATGTACATCGAGTCGACGTCAAATTGACGTCGAAACAATCGAAATTACATCGAATCGACGTCGACTCCATGAGTCATTGCTCGCTGGGGAAATTTTTGTGTTAAATTTTTTACGCAACCGCGTGTGCCAATTTAACATATTGTGTTTATATTATCTTAATATTTTGTGTTGAGTCGATATTCAACATGAGCGAGTGTTGAAATAACGCTTGTAAATGTTAAGATAACACATTTTACACTTCAGTATCGAATGATATATCATGGATATTAATTTTATGCAAGTTTTTAACATAATATTCGTGTTATTTTCCAACAGATTTATCCTAGGTTAAATTAATACAAAAATTTGTGTGGATCGTTCGAGATACGTGAGATGTGTTAAATTCGGCGCAACATGTTTCACTTTCCATTCATGGGAGAAGGGAATATGTGCAACTGAGATTTAGTTTGTCAGACCTAGTTTTTAGCCGTGGGAGTTAAAAGCTGGGTCTGGGGCAAATTCAATTGGGAATTTGAAATATCGTTTAAGCGACGACGGAAGATCCGAATGCGAGGTGACTCGGTATCGGGCCGCGGAGCAGCTTTCAGCGAATTAAATTCGAGAAGCGCAAGGATGGCTAATAACGGGATCTCGCGTTTCAATCGACTCCTCCCGATCGCGAGGGAGTCGCGCGAGCTCGGCTCGACGAGAAGGAGGCGCGAAGGAGATCTTCCGCTCACCCTCGAGGAGGTAGAGGCTCTCGACCGGGAGGAGGTGGCAGAGGCCCCGTCGAAGTGAGTAAACGGCACGTCCGCGCGGAACTGCGGGACGATATCGGCGAACGTCAGGAGGCCGGCCAATTTCCTTTTTTTCCGCCGCACCGAACACACAGACACAGCGAAATCGATATCTACTCGCGCAGCGGTTCCACCGTTTTCCTACTGCAACCGACCGACCTCGCGTTCTCGGGGTCACTGACACCCCGGCGGCCGCCGCCGTTTGATAAAGTTGCAACCGCCGGAAATCTCTGCAGGCTGTAATAGCTGTAGTCGCGTAAAAATAAGCGTAAACCGACGCGTAAACCGAAGCCGCTTTGGTCTCGAAGTTGCGTTTCCGGCCTCTCTCTCTCTCTCTCTCTCTCGTTCTCTCTCGAGCATCGACCTCTCGACGCGAATGCGAGCGAGCGGCATGCGCTTTTTTACGCGCGGCAATCGCGCGAATCGTCGAATCGTGTAACCGCACGTACGTACGTACGTTTGTTCGCTCGTTCGTTGATATATTCGTTCATATTCGCGATACGAGTCGCCGCCGCCGCCGTCGTCGTCGAAATAGGTCGCGAATCGCACACGCCGCGAATTTCTTTGTCGATGGGTATCGATCGCGGCCGCGATACATGCGCTTTTTTAGTATGTCGTCGGGAATTATTTTCCATTTCACGTGATACAGTTCGGGCGGACGCGTTTACGGGCCGTAGGGCGGCGTCCGCGAAAATAGGGCTGTTAAACCCGAAGCGTATCTCGGGTGAACGGAAGACCGTAATATTTCCAGTTTGATCAATTTTTCACGACGTTGTCCTATATTAGAAGGCGCTCCCTTTCGAAAGTTCAATCGCTCGCCCGTACCGCCCACATTTAGCGACGCTGTATCCCGTCAACCTTAACTGGGTATCAAATTAACGAAGATAGACGTACTTTGGTG